TGTTTGGACTTTGATGGGTTCAGCCCTCTTGATTCTTCACTGTCTGTTAATGAAGTTGCCAGAAAGACTAGGGAGCTTCAGTTAACTCTAGAGTGTCATAGGGGGACTCATCTTCAATGTCATCTATGGCAAATTGTAGAGCACATAATAATTCTTATTCAGGTTGGTCAGGATTCGAGGATTATTTCTCCCCGGGAGTGAAATGTGTGCCCTTGTAATTTAGATAAAAGATCTTGGCTGGTTAAATTCAAAGGGCTTGAGTTACAAAGTCAAAAAGTTAATTGTAGGAGACTGGTCCTAGGGTCAGTCATCTGGGCTGATTTTGATGGATAGTCTCTTTGTGTCTTATTGAAACCCTCACTATTTTATATTGTTTTTCACTTGGAGGGGTGCTTGCTTTAAAAAGCTGAAACTCAACATAGGTAGGGTCACTCCTGTATCTGCTAAAGCTGTATCTGTTTCTCCATTTATTTTTATTTGAATTTCACTGTGTTTATTTTAGAGGGACTATAGAAAGCAGTTCTGTTCATTTCCCTAGGGGCCCTGTCACTGTGGTCATTTTGGAGGTATGGAAGATAAGTCCAGCATATGTTGCTCTGGGGACAGTTTCTTTTCCACTGTCCTGTCTGTTCAGAGATGTGACATGGGCCTGGGGGCCAGGACTGTTTAGGTCAGGTCCCTTGAAGTTTAAAATGATAAGGCGGCTTGTTTGTTGGCTGAGACCCATAGAGTTGCATGGTCATGGGTTTGATGGGTTTTCTTTTCTAATACTAAAGGACAGTGAAAATATTCAGCCAGAATACAAACGTCATCAATATTCATGGTTTCTCCTTCTGGTCTGTTGTGTCAGTCATACTGGAAAGATCTAGGAAGAAACCACTCATAAAAAAGGTACTTGAGGGCAAATTGATTTGGGGAAGTTGTATCAGTAAAACCTGAGTATCTCAGAAATAAAGATTTGAATCTAGTTTTACAATCTGCTATTGATTCATCCTTGGTTTTTTGTTTGTTTGTTTGTTTATAAGATTGAACAAGAGTCCAGTTTATTCTTAGTGGAAATTCTCTGGGAACAGCCCTTAGAAAATCTTGAGCCATTTTATGAGCTCATCTAGCATCTCTGGCAGTGGCTTGAACTTCTGATCTAAGTTCCTCTTTAGGTTTCATCCCGCCTGACTCTCTAACCAGTTTTGGGGCCCACCAGAATGTATATCATTTGAGCTAGATCAGGGAGTCCTGGCTCATGAGCATTCATCAGGATTCTAAATTCCTCGGTAAATTTTTTGAGGATTCTCCTTTGGTTCAGGGCTTTTACTACAACTCAGAGTTCAGCCTTGGACCATGGTGTAAAATTGAAAGTGGTTTAGTTTGGGGAATAAATTTAAGGCATCCTTGTCTTTATTAGGATTTTCTATTGGCTGAGTTAAAAAAGGAATCGAGTGATAAGATCTTCAGAATGGAAAGGGAGCTCCAACTATGACTTAAGCATCTCAGGGTAGTTAGGAAGAAGGAAGGGGGAAGACCAGGTACAGTCCAGACTAGAGTCAATGAGTGGATTGTCTTTTCTGATTTTTTAGATTACTATTGTTTTAACTGTGTGGTGGCTTTTTGCTATGAATCTTTAAGTGACAAATTTTTTATTCAGAAGTTTACACATTAGCATAGCTATCAAAGAAAGTATCCGGTTCTTTTTGTTTATTGTTTAAAACTCTACTTTCAAGGCTCTTTATAAGTATATAACTTTGTCTAGATTATAAGAGCCTCTGAATTGTCACTGTAATTCTAAATTATCTTTGGTTATTTGTTGCCGATGTATTAGGAATAGACAGTTGTTTGCACCTAATTTCTTTAGCATAAAAAGGGCAGGAGTCCTTAAAGGTGCGCTATTGCTTTCTGATTGGGAAGTGGCCATGCGTTTTTCTTGTTGAACTTATTTTTTCTAATATAAGCAAATTTCCTGTTTCTGGCTGCCAGTGCATAATTCCCAATACCTATAAGTCTTATTGTAGAAATCTGGAGTCTCATACCCTCCTTTTCAACCTGTGAAAAATCTGTAGTCTCTCAAACGCTGATTTTCTAGCGGGAAGGTTTAGAACAAACAACATCATGGAAGAGCTCAGAATGCAAAATAAATGGAGCTTAATCTGAGAGAAGCTTATGGCAGATCCTGGAGGGGCAGCGAACTAACCGGCTCTGTGGGTACCTCCGTCTGTGTCTGGGAGGCAGCCTTGGAATCTTCAGCGGGTTTCTTCAGATGGCATCCTCATCTCCAATCTGTCAAATGACAAAAGTTTATAATTTAGTAATGAGTTTGATGTCCTTTATTCAAGGGAAGGAACCATGAATTGGGGAGCCAGTGCCTCACAAGCAGTGGGGCCTTCTTTCCAAGAGATTTGGGGCAAGAGTGAGTTTTATGGAGCATTGGAAGCAGCATCACAAAAGGGAATGTGATTGACCGGGAGGGCAGGGATCGCCTGGTCAGGCTGCCAGGGCCTGTGTGCTAGGGGAGGATGAGCTAGTTAAAGCTGAGTTGGAGGAATGTGATTGGGTATGCTCAGTTTCCTAAACAATGAGGCATTTCCCACAAGTGTGGATGGACTTAAGTTTAGATTTGTTGTGGGTCAGGCCACTGGGACATCCTCCAATTTTGGAGAGCAGAATTCCACATTTCTAAAATACATAATATATAAAAAATATATTTCCTCTGTTTTTTTCACATTTATTCAACTAGCATTTGGGGAACAGATACTGAACATTGGGCTTCTTTTAAATCTTTATCTTGATGATTCTGCCGACTTTTATTTTATAAATGTGTTTGGTTGGCAAATACATATTGCACCTCTATATGATGTACAGTAGCCCTGTGGTTACTTTTTTCATGAGGTATTTCACTGTTTTCATGTAGACAGTCATTTTTTTTTTTTTAAATTAAGGGTACTCCAGGCACTGAGATTATAGCAGTGAGGGAGAGACAAGTTCCCTTTCTTCATAAATTTTATATTCTAGTAGATGAAGACACACAATAAATTATAAATGATAGAACTACACAAGAGAATTTCACAGTAATAAGGTTCATGGTGGAAATAAGCAGAAAGATGAAACTAAGAGATGAATCAGGTGAAGAGGAGATCTTATACCTAGAAAAGACTCATCAGGAAAGACCGTCTGAGGATGTTGCCCTTGAGCTATAACTGGAGTGATGGGTCAAATGTTAGCAAAACCGGAACAAGAATTTCAACAGGGGAAATCATATTATGAAGAATAGTTGCCTTTCAATATTGCTTGCTGCTTTAGGACTGCTTTACGTTGGTTTTGATCTTTTCCTCCTACTTACAGGCTCTATACATTCTAATCTATATAGTAACACAAATAAATATGCAAATATAAAGCAAAAGAAAAACCCCACACAGCTTACATTGTGTTATAATTAAAATTCTCTCTCTCTTAATGGCTCATTAGGCTTAAATGATAAAATTCTCATTCCTCAAACAAGCATCCATAGCAGCTAAAATTATACCCTTCCCTGTTTATGCAATTTTAGCTCCTACTGTTCCTAAACATAAACCTTTTATCCCACTTAAACTGCTCCAACATAAATTGCTATGTTTTGTCTCTGCTGTTATAGTTTTGGTTTGTTTGTTTGTTGTTTTTAACCATTGCATCTGGAATGACCCTCCCCTATAATATATCTCTTATTTGTGGCTAGGCTCTAATCCCATATCTTTGATTTGAGTACCCAAACTGAGAGTGATCTCTCATATCACAGAACTTCTTTTTTTTTTTTTTTAAATCCTCACCCGAGGACATTTTTCTATTTTTTGTTCAGATAGAGTGGGAGGGAGAGAGAGAGAGAAACATCAACTTAAAAGGGACACATCGAGTGGTCGCCACCCACTCAACCTAATCAGGGGCAGGGACAAACTGCAACCAAGGTACGAGCCCTTAGCGGAACAGAACCTGGGTCTCTCCAGACCGCGGCCAACGCTCTAACTGCTGAGCCAAACCAGCCAGGGCTCACAGAACTTCTTTTGAAGTTATCAGTCATGTATAACCTACTATCCTGTAGTTGTCAGTACTACATAGTATCAGTTCTCTCTCTCCCTCCCTGCCAACTCTCTAGGCCTGCCAGGGGTTGTCACAGTGCAACGAACTACAAGCAGACACTGCTTGGAGTGAGGGGGAGTATTTCAAGGGATCAAATGCTCCAGATCTCTGGATGCAGCCCAATCTACTTGCAAAGTGGTTCTCGAGGTTACATGGTGTTTTAAGTAATTAAGTCCTCAAGATTGCTTCCTTGCTGACCTTACAGCCAAGCCCAGCATACTTCCTGTTTCAGCTGTCTCTCCCTGTTTTTAGCAAAGATACATAACAAATACATTCACGCTCAGGTGCTAAGCCCATTGGGTGCTTTCAGGGCAGAGTTCCAGCCCATCATGCGTACCTTATCTATTCACATGTATACTTTGATCCCTGGCTGGCCAGGCCATGAGAATGCATACCTCAAGGTTACAGTTTATTCATCCACCAAACCCCCAACCCTACATATTTAGTGGATTGCCACTAAATATGGTTTACAACAATATCAGGAGAGCCATGTGACACTTATGTGTTACCTAATTATTTAACTTTTCTGAAGTTTTTTACTTGAAGAATATAAAGATTAAAGAGTTGAGTAAAACTGTTATTTTTTATTCCACTTTACAAAACCAAGGAAATAATAAAATTTAGTACATTAATTTTCTTTCTTTCATATTGTGTTAAATAGTAAAGTGTCTTTAGTTGGAAATTGGGAACCTGTAAGCATTACTGATATAAATATTTTTAGTAAAATTTAATAGCAATATTGACTTCGAATATCATAAATAGAACAGTTTTATGTTGGTCTGTGTTTTTTTTTTATTTAAGTGTTTAAGCATTTTATATGTTTGTATTAAATTTTATTTTATTTTGTTTTATTAATTTGATGTCATTCATTTATTTATTTTTGTTTTCTTCTTTTCAAGGCCCTGTGGAATCCTACATGCACTGAAGGTTTATTTAAACCAGTATATATTTCAACCTAGGTTAAATCATTATTTGACCATAAGGACTCTATCACGCATCGGTGACATATTAAATGTTGAATAAAATCAATTTTCTATTATTCTATATATTAGCTATATCTCAGAGTATGTAAATCAGAAATGCTTCCCTTCCAAATATATCACACATTTGCTTTCGTACAGAATTTCATAAAATGTTGAGGAAAGTTATAACTAACATATTTCTACCTTATTCTTGTACTTTTAAAACAAAACAGACTTTTATTTTACACTTCTTTCTATGTGCAACTATTCTAGAATGTAACATTCCACTTGGCAGTACATATTTTTTGTTCAAATTTCTTATCCATACCATTTGTCTCTGTGGTTTTTGTCTTCATTTAATTTCACCACATATTCTACGTATATTGGATTAGTTTGGAAACAGTGCTTCTAGTTTCCCCCATCCTAGTGGAACAGTTTCTACTGAAGAACTAAGTTATCTCTAATTTTTTTTTTCTTGCATTGAGATAAAAAGATGAAAGCAGGATGTCTTCAAATGGAATAATGAAGAATCTTATTCTGACTGTAGAAGGTCAAAAACTGTATCACTAAACAAGTGAAGAAAGTTTATTAGATAGGGAGCTTATATGGTGGGAAATTTCTTGAATGTGTCAGAAATGAAAGCCTATCTCCTAGACTTGGCATCGCCACTTGACTTTGGTTTGTCCCTTATAAATTGACTTTCTGTTATAGTTCACTTTAATTATCAAATAGCTAGGAAGCAACAAGGTACTCTTTGTTTTTGTTTTTTTTAAATCCTCACCCGAGGACATTTTTGCATTTATATTCAGATAGAGCAGGAGGGAGAGAGGGAGGAAGAGAGAGAGAGAAACATTGATGTGAGAGAGACACATTGAGTGGTTGCCACCCACATGACCCCAACCGGGGCGGGGATGAACCGCACCCAAGGTAGGTGCCCTTAGCAGGAACCAAACCTGGGACTTTGTGGTCCATGGGCTGACACTCCAACCAATGAGCTAAACTGGCCAGGGCGCAACAAAGTACTCTTTAAGGTTGTAGTTTATTGCAAGGATAAGTGACGAGCCCAGAGAATGGCTCACTGTTGTAGGCAGGGTGCAGGGAAACAAAACAGCCAGAGTGAAGGGGAAGAAAGCAGGTTGCACTGAGTTCTCTGTTTTGCAGTGAAGCAATGAAATAATCATGGTTAATGGTGGTAACATTCAGAATTATGTTATTAAAATATTTTAAATTATTTGAATTATTATGTAACATATAATATGCATGATCGAAGGCTGGGTTTAAACCACGTTATTAAAATAAAACTATAAATATATTTATTTACATGAAAACACTATGTCTCCTTGTTGACTTTGTCACTTAAAGCATCCTTTTATGATTTAAGATGCAAAAATCTCTGTTCTCTAACAGTTTTCTAGAGTTCATTCTTATATCCTATTTGTATCTTTCTTTTTATTGTATCATTTTGTATTTGAAACCTTTCAATGTAGATAATGTAAGAAACTTCATCACCTAAATAAAGCAAGTCCTTGATAAAGATTTTTATCAACTTGAATGGTCAATATCATTTTGAAGAAGACGAAATGATTCAATTAAATATATTTTGACTAGGATGCAAAGGAAAAACAATTTTGTATTAGCAACTAGCTTAAGTCAATAAAAAAAAGTACTTGTTGCCTTAAAAGCAATATAGCAGAAGCTGTCAATACAGACTAAAAAAAATGACACCTATCTTAAAAGGTACAATTTCATGATTTCTCTTTAACATCAGTAAGACATTTCAGTGGTGCTTACTCGGAACATTTTTTCCCCTCATTTTATTTATGTTTTGCTGGAACTTGGGCATCTATCGGTGAACATGTAAATTACAGGTTAATTTTACTTTTTTTAAATATGTTTTTTATTGATTTGATAGAGAGAGAGGAAGGGAGAGGGAGAGAAAGATAGAAACATTGATGTGAGAAACATTGATCAGCTGCCTCCTGCACACCCCCTACTGGAGATCAATTCCGCAACCCCCACATGTGCCCTGACCAAGACTCAACGGGAACCTCTTAGTCCATGGGGTGACACTATCCACTGAGCCACACTGGCTGGGCAGGTTAATTTTACTTTGGAGAAATACATTCAGATTTTCTCACAATGTTTATTATATAAAATGTCTATTTATAAAATGTTTTGTATTTATTTGGTTACATTAAAAGTGAATTAAAAATAGGTGAACATGGGGGTGGTGGTGGTGTTAGAAAAATGTATAGGAACCATTGTAATTACTGTACTATATCCCAGGGTGCAATAAAACCAAGGTTGATAATTACTCCCCAAAGAAGAGGTATCAAAGCGCATCTGACTGTTGCAAATGGTGCAACATTAGCATTTCCTGATGAAAGGAAATATTATGCTTTACTATTATGCCTGCACATGTATCTAAAATACTCAGACAGTCACTAACTAAAAATAAGAGATGGACAAGCCTGATTATATTCATTTGCCAAATAAGAATAGTGGAATTTGAAGGATTTTGTTTTGTTTTGTTTTCAAATGTCAGGATTTTGTTTTGTTTTCCTGATTTCAGAATGCCGGTGGATTGCATGAATGCTAAACTCATACAAGTTATACATGTATTACATATGCAAATATATAAATAATTGTATTCGCTATGTGTGTCATGTATTATTAAAAATTAAATTTTTCTAAAATCTGCATTACGGACCAGAGAGAATTGTGATGAGGAAGATTTGCTCTCTTAATCTCTGTCTAAGATATATAATATGTGAACTAAGGAAATAATTTTATGATAGAATTGTTTTTTTAAATATAGAGAAGTACTTAGAAGAAAAACCATGTATTTTGCTAGATATTTGCATAGTTATTAACTCATATCTAATTTATATTTTAAATAATTCTGAAAGTTTAATATATAGTGCCCTGAAATATATGTAAATATTTTTATTTATCATATTTTGAAATATAAGTAACTTATCCTTCTTGGTTAGATTTATGACATATCATTGTTTTAAAAATTTTTTAAAACACTTGTTTCCATGCGTGTCATATTAATATCATATGTACATAATAATGTTTATTTTAAAGGTACTAAAAATCTTTTAAAACAACTATATGTCATAGATCTATTTACAATCGCTAAGATCTGGAAACAACCCAAGTGTTCATCAATAGATGAGTGGATTAAAAAGCAGTGGTACATATGCACAATAGAATACTATGCAGCTGTAAGAAAGAAAGATCTCTTATCCTCTGAGACAACATGGAGGGACCTCAAGAGTATTATGCTGAGTGAAATAAGCCAAGTCAGACAAAGACAAATACCTTATTTGTGTAATATAATGAGCAAAATAAGCTGATGAACAAAATAGAGCCAGAGAAATAAAGGAGTATAGTTCAGACTGACAAACCTCAGAGAACGGGGGAGAGCTCGGGAATGGATGAGATAAACCACAGAACTTATATGCATGTATGCGTAACCAACGGACATAGACAACAATGCTTGGGGGTGGGGCGAGATGGGGAGGAGGGTGTCTAGGGGGGAAAAAGGAGAACTATCTGTAATAAAAATAAATTACTAAAAATTGGAAAAATAAAATAAAATAATATAATATTGCATAATTACCTAAATTTGATGTTTTAAGTAATATCAATTAAGAAAACAAAATGTACTTGTTTTTCCACATTAAACTTGCTCCTAGAGGCAGGAATGTCCAAATTTAACAAAGGGATGCTATTAGTGTTGTGTTTTATGCCTTTTTTTCTTTACAGGACTCTAAATATTGTTCCAGCAATATTAATTTTTTATGTATAATTACATTTTCTAAAATCTCTGTCTTGCTAGTTCTTTTTTTTTGTAATAATAATAACCATTATGATATGCTGGAACCTTTTAAACAATCTGGAACAATATCATATATTTTTAAACATACCAATTTTATTTGCTATATATAGATGAAAGATTTCTACATGTCAAGGATTGACGTATGTGTCCTCCATTGGAAAAAAACGGATATTCTTGACATTAATAAGCATTAAGAACTGTTAGATTGTCCTATACCTTCCAAGTGATGTCTGTTGAATATCTGAATTTACATAATACATTTATAGCATTGATTGCAATGGAGGAGAGAGAGTAAGGTAGGCTGTGAAATGGGGGGGGGGGGATGTAATCATCTGTTTTATTTTTTACCCCAAATCAAACATTGAATATATCTATTACCTTCTATTTTATGAATGCTTTATTCTGATTTTCTATTGTCCTGTTTTAATGCTGTGTATTGATGCACATACAGGAGTTTTATGACCAAAAGGCTCAAATAATAATAAAATATTTTTAGTGACTGTTTCCAACATCTAAAAGCTATTCATTGCATCCTTAATTTATAAACATTATGTTCAGATTACACACACGTGTACGAAATGAGGAAAACCCTCATTTTAAAGTTATGTTTTTTTAAAAGGAACTTGGTAAGGAGGAGGAAATTTGTAAGTAACAAGCATTGCTAGGGAAGAAAGGGAAAGAACTTCCTGATTTCTGGGAAGAATGATGCCAAATGAATGCTAAGTAAATTTTGGTGGAGAAAATCAAGTATTGCAGCAAGGGTAAAATAATTGCTGCCACACTTCCCTCTAAGATTTAGTTTCGTTTGTGTTTTGTTTTGTTTTTTTAAATTTAAGTTTTTAATCAAAATAAATGTATATATATGATTCAAGAAATGAAGGAAGTGTGCCTTCACCCCTTCAAGACGAATTATCTTGAAGGCTTACCTACTAATATATTTTGATTATAATGATCAGGGTAAGTGAATAAATGTATTGCCTTTTTCTTACTTAGGCTCTTCATAAACATTTCTTTTTTTCATAAGGCTGGCAGGATTTCTAACCTGGAAAAAGATTTACTTGTACTTTTTTTTCCCCACTAAGAAGAGCAGAGTGAACTTGAAAGAACAGGTAACTTCATTTGGCAATAAATATGCTACACAGATTTTAATTTATTCATATAATGGTGTGTATATGTTTTAAGAAATTATTGTGTTAATGTAGATTTATAGATTAATTTTTATTAATACAATTTTTATACAATTTGCTTTATGGTTTATGTTTCTGGATATCTCTGTCATCTGACTGCTATTTGGGTATAGCCACATGAATTTTAAGAACGGTTTCCTGAAAATCAGTGACTAGTCTTTTGAAAACTATCTTTTACACTGCAGTAATGCAAATACATTATAAGTAATATTGTATATGCATAAACAACATAGTATTATTTTTGTTTTTCTAATGTTTCATCATAATGTAATCTTCAGAAAAAAACAAAAAAACCCTCCTGCTTTTGGCATTAATTTGATTTAAAAAGTAAAAAAGCATCTAGTAGCAAACTGTCATCGATACATTGGAAATTTATTGTTTGTTTTTAATGAAAAAAAGAATATTCAGTATGTGATGAGATAACAGAAATGATCAGATTGTCAGATCCGACTCCCACAAATCGTAGATCTCACCACAGTGCCAAGCTTTACTAATTTCTCAAAGTTCTGGCAGTCAAGCTCAGGTGAAGGCGGGACAGGTGCAGTGTCCAGGGCAGCTCTTCCAGCTCTTTTACCCTCACTGAACATCTGTTTTCTGGTCCAGAGTTATAAATCATATCTCCAAGTGAGGTTTTGGGGGTGGCCTCACGCAGGAGGAGGAATGTTTCATGCAGGAAACACTTCAACTTGATATCCGACCAGTGTGGCATTTTTCACAGATTGTAAGTGCCTTGAGTTAAATCAGTCCTTATCCAGGG